CCACACAAAAAAATCTGACAATCTCCAGTGACATTAGCGGCGAGAGGTTAAGCAATATGGAGCAATGCAGTTCGCGAAAGGAAAATATGGTAAGCAAGCCTCGTCAACATATACAACATGTCACACAAACAACAGATTTCCGAAGTCTTCTCACTGCTCACACTTCTTCTTAATTAACTAAAGCAGGAAAAAGGCCATGTAGATGACTGAGCAACAGAAACGAGTGGAAGTCCCAGACAAATCCCACCAACACTCACTAAACCAAATCCAACACTGGTTCGTTGAGATGCAAGTGCACCATATTCCTTCACTGAAGTACGGTAATGTGCGTAACAGCGGCTGAGCCCACGGACAGGCAGGATGCATTTAAATTCACTCTGTATTAGATTCGCTTAATTAGTACGACCATGCTCTCTGCAATGGATCAAAGTGCGAGAAAAGGAGTATAAAATCAAGAAGTGATTGAAAATCTCTGAGGAAGCATTAAATCACACTTCATGTACAGCCTGTGAAGAGTACAAAACATCCACAAATTTGTCACAATAACAAGGCCGATGTTTTTTTCAAAACGGGAGTCATACAATGCCAGAAAAGGGACAAGTGACGCGGCCATAGCTCAAAATGGGTAAATCACAAGCATTCAGTACTGGCCAACCAGCCAACAACAAAATCGGCTGTTGCCCTAAACAAGTGACAAAGAAAATGAGCAGCAAACACACCAGTCCTGCCGAGGCCCATATCTTTAAGTCGATGTCTTACAACGAAAATAAACAAGATGAAAGCTAAAGAATAACTCACCCACGTGGATCAACATTAGCATCAGCCGCAATGCCAGGAACCGCTCCCACGATTTGGATCCTACAAATTCCATTAGGACAGTTATTCAACAACAAAATGAAAGCTAAAGATGAACAGACGCAATCACACCCACCTGCAGTGGCCAATTACGAGCATGCCAATCTTCGTACTCACATCATCTCACTCGGCTATTTGAACGAACGTTCCAACTCGATAGAGTTCGGCAAAACTATTGACCCCATCATTAGCACTACAATTTGCCGGTGAAAGTGGACATGACTGTGTAATGGCGAACTTGTAAGAAATGGCAAATATTGTGGACGAAATAGCAGTCACACTAACCGGTCGGATTTTCCTTTAGAAACATGCCAGCTTCAGGTAGGTTGAATTTCATCTTGAGACAAATAAGTTGCACCGATGATTGACGCGCAATCACCGTCAATTTTACAAATTCGGAAACAGCAGTATTCTAGTAATTAGAATAATGAAGACGCATGGCAAGATCTCAAGAATATTTTGAGTGGACAATGCGAAGGCGTGCTGCGAGGGCATGTCCAACGAATGACTGCCTGTTGGACCCAAACCACCTCCCGACCATCAAAAAGAATGAAAAAAGCACGCTTGTACCTACCAAAACCTACCATAAATAATGAAATAGCCCTTTCTTGGAGTACAAGTCACGTTTCCCTGACCTGTGCTATTTGGTGAAGATGAAGGGGTGGAAAAGATGTATTTGGCAAATAGCAACAATTATGTACTGCTTGTCCTAGTGATGAATCACGAGCAGTCGAAAAGAGTCTTTTATTTGTGAGTGGGCCTGATTTTGGAAACAAATCAACACGGGCGGCGTGAAAACATGGGTCAGCGAACCACAGGCTAGCCAGCAAGTGCACCTATTTATGGACAATTCAAATTAAAGAAGCAAAGCGGTAAAAGAACCTGCAAAAAATATTGTTGTAATATTTTTTAAAAACGAATTTAGTAAATAAAATCTTTTTAAATGTATTTATTTTGAGAGATTAAAAGCAATTTACCATTATCTTGCCATTCTTAAGCGCGCCTATCATACTAAATGCAAAATTTGCATTGTAAACCAAATTTTTCTAAAACAATTTCGAGTTTTTTTTTGACCACAGTGTAAGTAGTAGTTAAGTTACAAAGGAAAGTGTAGCGTCCCGAGACTACCTGAAGACGAAAGAAGACACAATACTCGGGCGGAATATATATATTCAGCACGGAGGTGGCCGCGCTATTGGCATGGCCCAAAAGGCCAGCCCACCTAACGAGGTACAAGGGAGCTGATTCATAGTTCAAAAGTGGCGCCTCACCAATACCGAGGGATAAACTACTATAGTATTACAAAGGCACATACACATATTTGCACTAATTCAATACCGCTGCCTATGGCTTCGCAACCATCATATGCAAAAGAAATCCTTCTTTACCTAAGGTGCTTTTACCGACCTGGTTAAGATGTACAAACCTTCACTTCTTTCAATGATTATTTTGAGCAGCGGCATCGATTAAGTCGTAATCGGCCGAAGCAAAGCAAAGAACATGCACTATTACTGTACTACAATATTAAGTGGCTTATGGCATTGCTCGAATACCACTTCTTAATTCCCATATTTTAATAAGAACATCAAATTGCACAATTTATCCTCTTCTCCTTAGCTTCCTGCTTGGCAACCGCCACAGTCATATCACCACTTTAACCATTACAAATTGACTGGTGCCTAAGCTACCCACCACGAAATTGTAACCTGATTTCTTTGAATGTTCAACCATGTGAGAAGATATTTGATGCCAACACCAATATATCCCAGTTAAAATGCAAGATTCGTATTTCCCTTCTATTACTGATCTGCGTTGGGGATGGAGGAATGCATTGGCTGTAAATGTTTAAGACCAGTACATACAGCAAAGTTACACAACAACGTCCAGCTATATTGCAGTTACTTTCAGGTGTATTCGATGCAAAGATGTGGAAGCACATTAATTATTATTTTGGGAGCACGTGGCATCAAAGAAATCCTTCCAAAATGAATATCTCGAGACATTCATACCAGATTGATGTTACTGTAACAAAAATAGGCATACATTTAGTTGTGCTCTAATGATCTGGATTGTTGAATTGTTGGAATGAATGGGTACCATTCTACCTTGTTTGATTTGGTGTGTCGGTTGGCAATGCTTTGGCCTTGCACTGGTTCAAAGCACACAGCAAGTCAGTCCATCCACCTAATTAGTGACCAACCAGG